ATATTGTAATTTTGAACGTATACTATCATAATCACGAGTGAATGGACAAATAACTTCATATAATGATGAAAATACAACCTAAATTAGAAAACAAATAATATAATGATTTGAAATTAATGAAATAATAATATTATTTATTATTAGAAATAGAACTTACTAAAGCGACGAATTCCAATTTTGAATTCGTTTGTAAATAATGTAATAATGCATTTATTCCATGTACAGCTAAATGATGTCTTGTTAATTGTTCATTTTGATTATTTTCACCAGACACATTTCCTAATATCGGACGTCTCATTGATAAAGATACATCTAATGCTATAACTGTTGGCATTTTAATATATTTATATATTTATATTAACAAAAATTTTAGTTCCGTTTACATAATATAATGATTTTCCAGATTTATTTCTTTAAATATTTGTTAGTTAAAATATAATAGTACATATTAATTATTATTCGAAAATTTCAGGTTAGAATATCGTATATTTTCATACATCCAAGTACATATATTATATACATATTCCTTCGTAAACATTTCTGAATTTAATCATTTATAATCAAATAAACTATATTATTATAATTTTATTTTTTAATATTATTTTCTTCTTTATTTTTTTTTTTTTGAGTTTTTCTTTAGATATAAATTCATTATTTTTATAAAAATAAAATATAAAATTTATTCAATTAATATTTAAAATTGAAAATTAAAAATAATAAACAAGACAATTAATATAAATAATTATCTTTCAAAAATTATTTCTATGTATATAATATATAACTATTATGTTATACTTATATGTTAATATATAACTATTATGTTTTTAAAAATAGTGCATTATATAGTAATTTTATTATAATTAGAGTTATAATTAAAATTTATAGTTTTATTACATTTAAAGTTTGAAATTGAATATACAAAATCTTTTCTATTGGAAATAATAACATTTTGAGTATTATATTTTTTTTATAATTCTTCCAATCATTTTAATCAACATAGATGTTTCATAACAAATAAATAAAATAATAAAAATTTTTATTATTTATTAATTTTTTTATTTACATTCGATAAAAAAATATATTGTTTATTTTAAAACACATTATTATAAAATAAGTTATTATTGCATTATTTATTTTATATATATAAAATATTGATAAAATTTTTTATATATAATCTCAAGACAAATTTTAAATATATATAACTTTCAAATGTGTGCGTCAATGATTACGTACTACGAGATTAAAAAAAACAAATAATTGACGCTTCTTTTTCGATCTATTTCTCATACATATACTTGTAATGACTTCAACAGCTATTCTAAATTTTAGAGTTAATTTTATAATATAAATTGAAATGTATAATACAATTGAAAATCTAATCCACAGAAATATTTAATGTAAAATGCATCTGTGTTTCATTATCTATACAATTATTTCTTTACGTTGTATTTTATCTGTAAATTCGTGGCATTTACGAAATAAACAAATATCTCCCATTATATTTGGTAACTATTTTTTTTACATCATAATATGATAATAATATATATTTTAAATATTAAAATTAATATGATTAGTTTAAAAGTTCCAGGTGATGGTGGTAGTCAAATTGAAGCAAAACTCAATAAAACAAAAGTGGTACATTATTTATGTGAAAAAGTATCTACCGAATATTTTAATCTCTGGTTAAATTTAGAATTACTTGTACCAGTTATTATAGATTGCTGGGTAATTTTATTTTATATTTTTTATATTTTTCATGATATGTGAGATAAATAAAAATATTATATTTTAGATTGATAATATGAAATTAATTTATGATAATGTTACAAGAACAACAAGAAATCAAGATGGTGTTGATATACGTATACCAGGTTGGGGTGATCCATTTGTTGTTGAATATTTAGATCCAAGTAAAGCTTCTCCTGGAGTATATTTTAATGATATTGGTAATATGTTGGTTAATGAGCTTGGATATGTTAGGAATCATTCTATACGAGGTGCACCATATGATTTTAGAAGAGCACCTAGTATGTATATATGTATATATATATTTACATATTAATTATATTATATTACAAAATATTGTTTTAAATTTATAATTCATAATTGAAAAAATTTTCATTTTTAGATGAAAATGAAATATTTTTTAATAAATTAAAAAATTTAATTGAAGAAACATATAATATTAATAAACAAATACCTGTGACATTATTAGCACACAGTATGGGTGGACCAATGTCACTTATATTTTTGCAACGTCAAACTCAAAAGTGGAAAGACAAATACATTAATTGTTTAATTACTCTTTCAGCTGTTTGGGGTGGTAGTGTTAAAGCACTTAAAGTTTTCGCAATTGGTATAAAATATTATTAATATATTGTATTATAATATATAAAAATGTACTTTTATAATTATTTTATAATTATAGGAGATGATTTAGGTGCATATCTTTTACGCCAAAGTATTCTTAAAGATGAACAAATAACTAATCCTAGTTTAGGTTGGTTATTACCATCACGATTATTTTGGAAAGATACAGAAATATTAGTACAATCAGAACAAAAAAACTATACATTATTGACATTACAAGATTATCTAATGTAAGATATAATATATGTAGATAATGATTCATATCATTAATTACTACTTAATAATATTTAGTAATTATTATTTATTTTAATTATTCATTATTAATAATATTTATATTTATTTATTTAATCAATAATTTTCTTACACTATTAAAAATAACATTATAGAGATATAAATGTTCCAAATGGTTGGGAATTTAGAAAAGATAATGAAAAATATCAATTAAATTTTACTGCACCAAAAGTTGAAGTGCATTGTCTATATGGAAGTGGTATAGATACAGTGCAAAGGTATTTAATTGTATTCTAACCAAATTAGTAATAAGCTATAAATTTTTTCCGATATTTATTATATCTTATATAATATAATACACTATTATATAAATAATACATTTTAAACTGTTAGATTATATTATAAACCTGGTACATCAATAGAAGGAATTCCTCAATTAATTCCTGGTGATGGCGATGGTACTGTAAATTTAAGAAGTTTAGAGGGTTGTAAATATTGGCAAGGTAAACAAAAACAAAAAGTTTATTCTCAAGTCTTCCCTAATGTAAATCATATGGATATTCTTAAAAATAGTAATGTCTTGAGTTATATTAGAACTCTTTTAAAAGTATGATGTTATTTATATTTTTTCATGTATAATTTTTAGTATAATAATCAAATTAAATATTTAAATTATAATAAATTATATAAATATGATAATAATATCTTCTGATAAGAAGTTGTAATTAGAAATAATATTATATCAATTATACATATTTATAGAACAATTATATATATTTATATTCTATTAATTATATACAAATGTATAGAATTATTAGTATGTTTTAAAATAGATTATTAATATTTTTTTTATCTACAGCTATATAAGTACAAAGATATTTTATTTATATTTTTCATTATTTTATTTATATATTTGAATATAATTTTGAATATTTTTATTATTTATATATTTGAATATAATTTTGCTATTAAATTTAAATGTTAAATTTTTTACATATAGAAATTCTATTTAGTAATTACAATTTATTATAAATATATTTAATACATTTAAATATTTATATATATTATATATATATATTAAATATATAAATATATTTAAATAAATTTAAAGAACTTATTTTTGACCTTCTCTGTATAATAAGAATTTTTTTAGCACACTTTATATCAATATTTCAAATAAAAATTTATTGAATATATATAATTATATGATTTCAATTTATGAATATATTTTATAATTTAACATTTAAATTTTTTAATGATAATAAATTTTTTAAAAATACAAATTGTTTATAACAAATTTTATTACAATAAAATTTTAATAAAAATTATAAAATAAACAAATATTTATTATTATAATTAAAACTATTAATATATGAACATAAAATTATATTTTTTATTTTATTATTGTAGAAAGTCGATTCTTTTTTGCAAATTTGTATATATATATTCGTATATACATATATCATACAGAAACTTAATATATTCATAATATATCTTTGAAGAATTCTTTAATTCTTTGATTCTAAAATATCTTTGATTCTAGAAGAGAAAATAAACACAAAAATTGGTATAAAAAAATATCGGTTGAAGATTATTTATTAAATTATAGAAAATTTAAATATAACTGTCTCATTTTATTTCAATTTTTCTTTTTTCATTTATAAACGCAAATTTAATAAATAATTTTCAACAAATGTTTATATATTAAATTTGTATTTATTTTAATCTAATCGATTTTTCAAAGATATCTCACGAATATATTAATAAATAAGAATTATTCATTTATTAAATTTATTTTTTAATGACTCATTTATAAACAGTCCATAAACAATTTTTTACTTTTCTGAAAAAAAATAAATACTCTTTTGAATTGTATTATTTTTGAAATATATATTAATTTTTATCTATTGAATTATATACATGCTATAAATTTCATCGAAATCGGTTAATGTTGCTATAAGCTACAAACATTAAAAATAATGAAAATCAATTTTTCATGACTAATTTTTCATGTCTAAAATTTAAAGATTTTTTGCTTGTTTCTGCCTCAACCGATTCCAATAAATTTTGTATATATAATAAATATATAAATATATATTGTATATTTTACTAACTTAAAATGATAAAAAGAAATTTTAAACTTTTATTAAAGATTCAGATTAAAAAAAATATTTTTCATTATTTTCTTTGCAATTCCAAATTGTAATTTTTTCAAAAATTTTTTACACATCATCTAGTAAACTAATCCATTTAACTCTTTGAAAAATTCAAATCATTAAGCCCAATTTTAAAAAAATTATTATGTTTTAAAGAGCATACTAATAATTTTTTAATTGATTGTATATATTACATAAATTTGCAATATATTGTAAAGAAAAAATTAATTTAAACAACAAATATATCTTTCACGTTAAAAATTTTTTTTAATGTTTCAAAATATACATATAGATATTTTTATTTTGCAAGCATATTTGTATGCTTCCTCTTACTCACGTTCACCTATCTTGAAAAGTCTTTGTTTACACTTATTTTTGACACTAAATAAATGTGCACAAAATATTCATGTCAACTTTAAAGAACACAGCATAAAGGCAGCATAGGAATGCTCAAGATGCTCCTTATTCAGAAATACATTCAGAAATAAATTCATTTAATCGCTGATTTATAATAATATCAACGATTTTATGATATTATTATTTCACTATATTTGTGTGCCCAATAATTTATTTTATTATTTACCAAGCTAATGGTATATAAATAAAATGGAATTTTGCTTATAGGACACATAAATCAATCTATTATTTAAATAGATTAAATTTATTTAATGTCAGTTAAGGCCAGATGAAGATCTTAAAAAGGCATATAATCCTAAGGCCAAAATTGTTACTACTGTGATTGTTTTGTAGCTTCTGATACGGTATGGTATCCTTGGTACTAATTGCACAATTCTAAGTTGACGTTGTTTTTCTCTCTCTTGACGACTTGCTTCTGCTTTTGCTTTCCATTCTTGTTCTTTAAATTTTCGTTTTTGGTCGTATTCTCTAACGTCGTTATTTATAGATTCAGGAGGATATTGACGATATAAATTTTTAGCTTCAACAAGTAGTTTCTCAAAAGGTAAATCATCAGGCAGCTATAAATAAAAAGTATTTTAATATTAAATGAATAATATAGCTACAATTTTATTTCAATCATATTATCAATGTTAAACATTACTTACAGTACATAAAACTTTATGTGTATGACCCATATCTGGTGTAGTATTAAAAATTTCTGTTGCTCTATGTGCTACAATCACAGTACTTAGATAAAGAGGCATTAATGGTGGACTACCAAGAAAATAATCAAATAATCTGTGTAGCAGCTTTCTATTTTCTGCATATTTGTGCGCATACCATGTTGTATATTCAGCCAATGCAAAATGTGGAAATAATTCTACACTGTAATAAAAAAATAAATTCAATAGATGATTTATCTACAAATAATTATATAAAATATATATTTGTTATACAAACTTTTCCAAATGTTCTAATAAAGTGGGATGTACTCTTTCTAAAAGTGCAAATATATAAAATAATTCTTGATTTACTTTTTCCATTGTCTTCTCCATAAATCTTTCAAGAAATTCTAAAGAAATGCTCTCAAGTACATGCAAACCTTTTTCTAAGCCCATGACGAGAAGAACAGTTGCTGCTATATCATTATAACCCTGGTAATAACTAAGTACGTATTATTTTATTTTGAATTATCAATATATATTTGTTTACAGAAAATGTTTCAAAAATTATAATAAAATAAAAATATTGCATAATATATTAAATGTATATAATACTAACTTTAGCATAGAATGTTTATGGAGAACCCAACACATTATTTGAGTCAATTGTTCATGAAAGTCATCTATTTCATGTTGTGTAGCATTTTGTGAGATATGACTTCCACTACGTGCAACATCCTTCAAAATTTGTTGGTAGACTTCATTTGGTATATGATTATGTATAGTTTCTAATCCAGTTATAGAAAAATTATTTTCTTCTGAGAGTCGCAATAGTTTTGGCCATAGAATCCTTCGTATCTCATCTACAAATAATCTTTATGACTTCAAGATTTAATTATGAAGTATAAAATCATTTTCAATAAGAAACCTATAATTTTATGTTTTATTATTTTGAGTAAGATTGTACAAATTTTCACTTAATAAATGTATAAAAACAAATTACACTATATTATCCATATAAGGATTCCTTCTTTATAATAATACATGATCATATTAATGAAATACCATGAACTAAACCCTCACTGCTGCAACCAAGTAGTTTGAGTTCTCCTAATGTCAAATTTGGATTAACGATGCTTCCTCGAATAACGCTTATCTTGATCCGTTCTGTATTAGTCAATATGTCTGTATCATCAAAATTATATTCTAATGAACTGTTATCGTCTTCATGATTCAACACTCCGTTTTGTTTACCTGACGAACTAAAGTTTGCGATGTCAGGTATTCGTGGTATAATATCATCGTACCATGCTTTTGTAGAATCTGACATTCTTACGAGAGGTATATTATTTTTGGAATCAGAAGTTTCCTCTTCCTTTGATACGAGATTTATGGTTTCGATTACATTTCTTCGTCTAAGTTTCAGGTTATGATTTTCAATAGGAATTGACATTTCCGTAAACGTTTCTGGAACACTAGAATCTAAAGATATTTCGTCTTCTTTGTGCTCCATATTATTCGACGAAACAAATTTATACAAAAAAATTTTCAAAATATTTCATTGTACAAAAAATTTACTGAAAACTCCCGGAACATTTGACAGAACAATGACAGTCTGTCAAGAAACATGCATTGGTTACCGTCACTAATTCGTAAGAGAATTCAATTGCTTATCAACTGAAATTGAATAGACATTGACGTGGCTTATCATTTTCTTTGCTTTCATACACCACAGAAAAGATATAAAATAGATATGTTACGCAGTTTGGGGCCTTAGAAGCATTTTAGCATTTTAATTATTTCTAATATCATTGATTTAATATAAAATAATATTATAATCCAAATAAAACATAAACGCAGACTTGTTCGCGACTACAAGGAAAATCAAAACAAACCTAACATTACATATAACGAATGTCAATAAATACAAAACTTCATATGTTATGTTTACAATTATAAAATATAAAAATTTATATTTTACTATACTTTCATATAATTATTATAATATATTTTAATTTTGATTATTATTTACTGTAATAGATAAATATAGATTATTATATATATATATATATATATGTATATAATTATATTTCAAATCAGTAACATTAAAACTAATACAAAATATTTTTAAACTTAATATATATGATCGAAATTTTTATCGAGTGATAGGTCTATATTATATATAATTGTGATGTAACTTAATGTTCGCTTATGTCGCTTCAGTCGTTGTATCATTATTGAGTGGTATTGTAAGTATACTTAAAGATCATATTACGATTTATTGCAATAAGAAATATATATTGTGAAATTAATATTTTTGCCCGGAAGGTTATAATTAAAATTAAAAGAATGGCCAATGCTCTGTACAATTTCATTTTTAAAAGATCCTCTACATTTACCATAGCTATTATAGCTAGTAGTTTTTTCTTTGAACGAGCATTTGATCTAATTTCGAATGAAATGTTCGAACAGATTAATAAGGGGGTATGTATTTATATAAAAAATATTGTTCAATATTAACAATATTATAAACATATATTTAAAAATACATTAATTCTTTATATAATAAATTGCATAGAAGAATAGTTATTTGATTTTTTATTTTCTATTGTTATGTATATAATTTCATATTTAAAATATATTTTATGTTTTTAAAAATTTAATAATATTGTTTAGTACTATGATATTAATGATACAACTTAAATATGATTTAATATTTATTTTTCATAATGTTATTATATGAAATTTTATTAATTTTAAGAAAAAACTATTACATAATATGTTAATTGTTAGATTTTATAATAATAATAAAAAATAGTAATTTTTAAAAATAATATCCATTTATATTTTTTGTTTCAGAAACTTTGGAAAGATATTAAGAATCAATATGAAAACAAGTAATGAAAAATATTAATTGTATTATATTAGATATATATATATATTACATAGGTATGATATATTCCTATAATTATATAAATAAACAATTTATTCAATGTGACAAATATATTTTCAAATAATATTATTATTATTATTTTTAATTTTATTTGTTTAATAGAAAAAAATAATTTATGTTGTTGATAAATTTTAAATATATTAAAATTTTCAATTATAAGAAAGAAAAAATTTCACAATATCAAATTCAAATAATCATTAAAATGATTCAATGAAATGATAAAAAAATAATGTTGTTGCAAACATTAAATAAATAATCATAAAGATTTGTTAATTTTATTTCCTATATGAAACTAATTTTATAAATCATTTTGAAAGAATAAAATTTTTGGTTTAATTAATTAATATTCTTTCTTCATTTATTTTTAATATTTTATAATATATTTAATTATTTATATATTTAATTATTATATATTTAATTAATTAAATATATTAAATACACATTTGAAAATATTTTAGTTAAATTTTCATTAAATAAAAATATATTGTCTCCAATATTCAAATATATAATATATTATATTTAATATATATTATATATAATATAATATAATATAATATAAAATTTTAATATATTTAATATATAAAATTATATTAAATATATAAGATTAATTTTAATATTAATTTTTAATTCTAATAATACAATTCTAATAATACATACATATTATTTTATTATTTATATATATATATTAATAAATAGATTTGTATTTCATAAAATACATATTTCAACATTAGGATATAAAAATTGTTATTTCATATTTGTTTCATTGAATTATTTTAATCAATATTCTTTGAAATAAATAACTAAAATTAAAAAACAGATATGTATTAAGTGTAAGATTATGTATTTAAAAATATAACAAAAGAAATCATATTGCATATTATCTATCGAATCAATTCATTGATTTTATGGGTATTTTGCAATTTTGTGATTTTATATATATGTTTGTCTTGATTTATTATTTAATTTTCATTTATTTATAATTATGAATCAATTTAGATATTATTTTGATTAAAAATCTTATATAATCAAAACTATTATTTATTATGTTGTGTATGTTTTTTTATAATGTATTCTTTCAATATCATATTATTAAAATTGTTTTAAGCAATTCTTTCTAGCTTACAACTTTAAGCAAAAAATATAAAAATAAAAATCTAATTTATTTAAATTTAATCATCATATATGAGCAATTAAACAATTTTGACAATGATAACAAAAAATGTAAATACAAAATTGAAAATTTTTACATTTTACATTATGAGAAAAAAGAATCATGTAATATATATTATATATTTTTTATATAATAAATATATAATTTATTTGACATAATGTCATATCTGTCATGTCTTTAAAAATATGATATTAAAAGAATATATCAAATAAAAAAATATATATTATCAATAGTTTATGTTTTATGTCTTATGTGTATTAAAAATTTGCATTTTTATCTTATCTATATAAAATATATATTGAAAATATTTCAATTTTTGATATTTAAATTTGTTTGAAAGATTAAATCTAAAAATTACTACATTAATATTAATATTTTATATTAATATATTATTTTATATTAATAACTTTTATTTTGTTTATTGTGAAGATAAAAGACCATTGCCATTGCCATAAATTATAAAAAAAAAGTATAATAATATTATGAGACTTAAAATATAATGTAAGAAAAAGTCAGGTATAATTTTTATTAAGTATGCCTAAAAAACGAAATTTTAATGTGGCATACAGCAATTAAATACCAATTAAATGCATAATTGCAATAATGCATAAATGCAAACAATGCATAAAATATAAAAAAAAGAAAGATATATTTTATTAAATACTTTTAATATAAGACTATTTATGCAATATTTTAAAAATATACTTTAAAATATTATTATTTAATATTGTTATTTGCTATTCTGGTAATAATATGGAAAGAATTTATTCCATATAATTATAATAATAATAATAATCAAATCACATTGATACTTATGTTATATTAAATTAGCATTTTGGTTGAAAATTATTTATATACAAATAAAAAAAATTAACTTTTTGATATTAATTCTAAATTTAGATGATGATTCTTGCTAATAATTTATTTTTATTTTATTTTTATATTATCCATTGTGTCAAGAGGATTCATAATCTTGCCGATATAAATAATTGTTCCACTGGATTCATCTTCGATATAAAATAAAAATGGATGATTAGCATGAAATGTTTCATCCTGGTTTTTATTTCCAATTTCAATTTCTAGAACAAATGGAAAAATAGATTATATATATTCCGTACATTTATAAATAAATAAAAAAAATAATTATATAGAAAGTGGTATATACTTTTTGATAATTATATCTGCTACTTTTCTGATTTCGATGATATATTGTATAAATCATCATCAAATTTTGAATAATTTTTTCCTTTGTATTTTAGCACCGCTTGAACTTAGTTTTCAAAATATTTGCAAAAAAAGAGTGCTACTATTATATAGAATTTTTTTTATATATATTTATACATATGTAAATTTGTCATTATTTATTATTTCTATAAATAATATTGTTTTGTATATTGTTTTTATAACATCGTAGCAAACAGTTCAAAATGTATAATGATCAAAAGATCAAAAAGTTTTTTCTTTATGATGTATTTAAAATATTTTAAATCTAATGCCGAGTTTGAACATTTTTTTGGATTCATGAAATGCAAAAATAAAATATAAATAATTCCTTTGAATAATTAAAATTGAATAATATTAAAAATAATACTGTGATTCATTATTAATTTTGATCATCTAAGAATTATTTTATATTTTATTTTTATATTTCATGAATCCAAAAGAATCTAATACTCGGTTCGATATTGAATTTGAGATATTTTTACTCATTGTAACTTCACTGTAATCCATGAGAAATTAGAGTTTTAGTCCATTCATTATATATTTTAGTTGTCATTATATATCATGTTTACTTTAATAGAGAATAAATAGTGGTCACACTTATGCAGCTGTAGATATATTAATATAAGAAGAATTCTATGTAATAACAGCAATTTTTTTGCAAATATCTTGAAAACTAAGATTGAACAGCGATAATATCTATAATTAAATATCAATAATTACTGTGATATTTTAATATGTTATAAAAAACAATTTTTTCTTATATGTATAATGTTATAGTTTTGATATTTGCAAAAAAAGATTTATTGTTTATATTAATAGAAGAAAAGAGACGATCATACTTCGCATACACTGTCATGAACGCATATATATAAATAAAATTTTACCAATTTTTTTCCAAATATCTCGAAAACTATGAGAGATGGTTATATGTAAATAAATATTGTTTAAAAATTTCGACCTTTATGACATTTAAAAATCATCGAAATCAGTAAAGTATGCCTCTTTTTATAATCCTGAAAAACAATTCTAAGCATAGATAGAATAATAAGAAAAAAAAAAATTTACCGGTAGCCACATAAGCTATAGTTCCATTCTCATTCATTTCGATTCCAACTTTTTGTAAAATACTCGAAACCTTAAGACGTTTTGAAGTTCGTTTGGTTTGAGCTATACCAGTTAACGTTGCAGTATCATCAAAAATATCGCGAATACGAAGCTAATAAAAAATAAAATATAAAAAATAAGAAACTGAACGCAAATTAATAGAAAGAAAGTGATAAGAAAATGAAAGAAAGTACTTCACGTAGAATGGGTTCCAAGTAGCTAGAAAAATCAAACTTGAATTTAGGAATTAAGACATCAACGGGCAAATCTTGCATCAGCCATACATATCGTGTTAATACAAAGGGATTAATTTTATTGATGAGTTGATCAATTCCGTTTAATATGCGTGGTAATAACAAATATATAGCGAACTGTCCCTAAAATAAGATAAAATAAAAAAAAGGAAAGAAGAAGATAATAAATTATATACATCATATGGAATTCTTAAAATTTTGGCATCCAAGTCAGAAGATTCGATATAATGAAATCGTCCGTAAGCATGCATAATAGGTGTGTCTACAGTTCGATTATCAATTAAATGAAATTTGTCATTTTTTGTATTTTCTGGAGAAAAATATTTGCCACGCCACAATCCTTTAAAGAAAATAGTATTCACAATCAACATCAATGAATTTTTCACACTATTGTCTGAAAAAAAAGAATTTATTTGATTATATAGTTTAAATAAAGTGCAATATTTGTGTATTTTTTAAAACAGAATAATTTTTGAATAACTAAAAAAAATTTCTTCGATTTCAATGATTTTTGGATATGTTATAAAGAATAAGATTTAAAATTTTTTCTTATGCATATAACTATTATTGGCTTTAGTTTTCGAAATATTTGAAAAAAAATTGTTACATAGAATTTCTATATGTTCATGGCTTCATATGCATAATCATGCAACTTATGTTATATAATATAATTATGGTGATAACAAATAAAAAATTAAAAATTTAAAAATACTTTCTCATAGATTATAGTGATATAAATTAAAAATATTTTGAATCCAATACCAAATTTAAGCATTCCGTGAATCTGAAACAATCTCTCGGATTTAAAACATTTTAAGCTCTCTATAATAATATAATATAATTTTTTGACTGATATATTCATTATATACTTGAATGTTAATGTGGTTATAGAAACAATATATAAACAATAGATAGTCGTAAATTTGGAATTTTAAGCATTAAAACATCGTGAAAAAAAAGTAACAATCATAATTTTTAATTTTTTATCTTAGTCTACAATGAAATTTAAAACATGCTTTTTATAAATTTAAGTTATATACATAAACTTTTACGGAAATCAATTAACATATAAAAAAGTATTGAAAAATGTAAAAATTTTTACATTTTAGAATACATTATAGAATTATATACAATTGTATTTCCGATTATTTCTTATTGCAATATTAATCGATTTTGATGAAATTTTAATGAATTTTGAACATATATATAATTTATTGAAATTTAAGCGAATTTTAAATCTTCATTATAGGTTTAGATAAAAAAATCATGACTTTTATTTTTTCACAATTCTAACTT